TGATTTAACTGGTCGAGGATGCTTGTCTGTCCTTGACATTCCAACTTGTCTTGCTGCCTGTTCTATATGAATTTAAAATTAAAACCTTTACGCATGTTAACGACGAGATCTGAGAAAGCTTTAAACGCGTTAAAAGTAGGGCAAATGGGGTAAAGAGTAACCTTTACAGTTTTCACTGCTTAAATACGTGTACAAAAATTATATCATTATCCCTTTTAGAAGAGAATATGTTTTGGGAAACTCATTGTCAAATTAGTTAAATAAAAAAATATAAACTATTTACTTAATACTTTTAACGTAAATAAAATCAGTTAGAATTTTCATCTATGCTACTAGTATTAAGATTTTTGTATGTATTATAACTCAAAAACTACTGAGCCAATTTCAGAAATTCTTTCACCATAAGTGACGTTATCGCTGAGTAACATAAGCCTATTTCTTTTAATTTTTTAATTTACGTCTACAAAGTCACGAGCAACAGCTAGTCATAAATAAATCTTACTAATATCACAAATGCGAAAGTTTAGATGAATAGATGTTTGTCAGAGTTTGTAGCCTAAACGGCTGAACGGATCTGGATGAAATTTGGCATAGATAAAGAGCATAGCCTGGAAGAGCACATAGGCTAATTACTCTTGTTGATTTTTAACTGCACTTGACGGAGTCGCGGAGATAAAGCTAGTATGTTAAAAAAACAATATTAAATACTTGAATATTTAAATTGTAATGTTCCTGATACAAAATACTGCATTTCCTTATTGAATTATTCATATCGGGTTCGTGTCTTAAAATTCCATAACGAAAGGCTGAGGTATATTTTACGTACCACCATATTCAGCTACGCGGGTGCGGCCTTCATTACTTATTACATAGTCTTCTATATCTTAACGAAAAGTTTTTTTCCTTACTTGAATTACTAAATTACTTTTAATACGAAATATATAGGAATACATTATTAAAATTGTATCGTTTCTTTTAAATATTTCAATAAATAGTCGTAAGTAAGGATTAGAATCGGTTGCAACTTTGATAGAGAATAATGTATGTACTATGTATAATGTACTATGTACTAGTATTCTACCACGGAAGACCAGCACATGTGCTGAGTGGTTTTACTTAACTAAATAAATCACTTTTCTTATTTTTAAATAAATATTTTATTATATAATGGAATAGTTACCATATTGTTTTATTTACAAGTCTTGATTAATTTTAATATGATATAGATGTATATTTATTTTCATTTAATGTACAAGAAACGTATGAAAGGTACAAGTATTTTGCGAAAGAAAGTAATTTACTTATACCTTTATTTACGAAAAAGAATATCGTGAGAGAAATTCACATTTAATGAGATGAAGCATAACGTTTTTAAAACATGACTTAAAAATGCGGATATTTCGGTTTGTTACAAAACAGATTGTGATATCAATTTTAAGTTACTTTATTAGCTAATATCTCTAACAAGAATTCTAATAATTATGCTATATGTCACTCGAGTGCGAAGGAGCCAGCTGAAAATCAGCGCAGGAACGACTTAGTCCGTCTTGAATACGCTGAGTTGGCTACCTTTTGCCATGATTGTGTTTTCTTTGGAATAAGTCCTTTATGTAATTTATTTTCTTGTAGCAATAAATACATATTCATTCATTCAAGAATAGTAAAAGAATTCGGTTTAGTATCGCTTTGATTCCTATCAGCTTACATAAAGGTAGGTAAACTATTCGATTTTTAGTTGTGCAACTAAACAATTGAATTGGCTGCAAAACAATCGACAATCGCACAACAGTTGTGCTATAGTTTAGTAAAACTGTACGCTCGATATAAGATCTAAGTCACAAAACAAGAACCGATCATCGTAATATTAATGTTCATTGAGTCGGAAAGTTCCAAATTGATTTCACGTATTAATGGACAATAGAGTGCGCTTCGCCGCTAACAGTCAATGCTTAAATAACCATGAAAATTAGGTTACAAATATCAGTTAACAATACCTTACAAACATTTATAGAACAAAAACAGTAATTAAATTTAAAGTACATCGAGTCGATTAAATAGTCACTAAGGGAGCATTTTAGTGGCCCATTAGTTGACTACACATTTACCTTTAATTCGACGGAACTTTTTGTAGCAAAAAAATTTTTTTGGATATGTACATGTAATGTGAATAAAGGTTTTTTTTTTTTAATAAAAGGTGGTAAACGAGCAAGCGGCTACCTGAATCCACCGAAATGGAAAACGACCGCTGCCCATAAACATCCGCAATTGCAGATGAGTTGCCTACCCTTAATTGACGGAAGAGACATAAAGAGGACATTTTCCCTTCCTATGCGTCTCCTCCACCGGCAAATGCATTTTTCCTTCCCATCGTTTCCTCTTAAGAGAAGGATGGAAAGGGAAAGGGACTAAAATTAGGGACCACACTCATCAGACGAAACGCGGAATTGCTCCCACTTCCCGGCTGACTTCTGTGTGGTCGTGGTATTACACCGGGCGAGCCGACCCATTCGTGCCAAGATGTTACATGTCTGATGTTAGTCATACTGAACGAATCAGGGATTAAAAATGTATACTTTCGAGTGTTTAATTAAATTCTGAGTACAATAATTAAGATGTTACACTATTGCATAAAGCTTTTCCAAAGCCGAGGTCAAATGTCCTTAGTCGAACCGCAATAACTGTTTTAATATTTAGGACGTCTTTTAGGAGGCATAAAACTAATTGATTCAAAGATTAATATGTGATTAAATACCTATAAAATGTTAGTACGGTCAGAGTTAGTTGGCTTTTATCTTGATTACCTCGCAACCCTTAGAATAGGGGTGTGTAATACATACGTATACTGGAATGACTTTAGAGACTCTATGAGTAAGGGTAACGTCTGGTTGTATAATCATATTATCTATACTAAAAATGTAAAGAAAAAGATTTGTATATAACTGTATACTTGTGACGAATACAATCAAAAATTCATAGACCGAAAAATTTATGAACATTAAAATTTTAGATTATCCCTGAAAAATATAAAGGATGTTTTAAAGTAACGGAAAAAAAGAACAAAGAAACATCCTGTATATCTAGCACTGATGTACTTAAAAAGATAAACGTCGGGAAGGGCAACTAGTATTTAATATCATTATACTTATTGCAGTAAAAAATGTTGACGTAAATTTAATTTTATATGCAAAAACTAACCACCACAGAGTATAAAAATTAAAGATCTGTGTAAGTTTCTTATAGACGTTAATGATTGAATATAAACAGAGGGTACTTATTTAAGATGTAGACGATTTTCCTTCACCCCCACGCTAAGGGTAGGTTAGTAAATTTTATATCGAACATATTTATGTCGATAGTTACCAAAGGAAATATACTTTTAAGACGTCTCCCCAACTATTAAAGTTTATCGTATACTCCATTCTGAGCGTTCACATTTATTTCATAGTCATTAAATTTTACGACTGAATTTTCTATTATTTGGAATCAAAAATACTGTGAAACTTTTACAATAATAAATAACAAACTATTTCTTTTAACATATAGTATAACATTTTGCTAATGAGGGCTATATACAGGATGATTTTAATTAACATAAAGCAGGGAATACACAAGCCTGTAGTTAGCTCGAATGGTATGTTTTACGATATTCAATATTGTTACAGCTACCTGCATGCAAGTTAAAGGCGTTAAGAATGGTTCTGGTCACATACACTCTCGTTGACATTTAACTGGCATGCCAGCTACTACACCGTTTTACTGTCATGTGTACCGCTTTAATTCTAGTAGCAGTAACAATACGCGTATTTAATTGTATGGGTGGGTGTACATACGTATATTTAAATAATAAGACATTCACCAGCCTCGCTGCAAGGTCGCAGCCCTCCTACTTCTCTATTGTTCTTGTGTGAAGCTTCAAGTTTATAGAATTTTGTAATTACACAGATTTTACTGTAGACAAAATTATTCAAAGACACTTTACGAATGTTTACAAGCGTAATTAAAGTCACACAATTAGAAAAGAGTTTCTATAAGTCAAACGCTGAATTTAGCGCAGTTTCATTTTCAGGTTTCCTGTAGGTTTGATTAGCTGATGTTTTTAACTGAAATATGTTTCCGCCTCGTCTGATTTTTTGAAAAAGATTAAAAATATAGTTAAGAATTAGCGTTTAATATTATGTAACAAAACTTTAATTAATATTTAAATGTAATCTATATTTCAAATATTTCATATTGTTTCACGATCAGTGCTTAAAAGTTTTTCAATTTCAAGTGAACAAGTTATACCTCTAACACTGATCCTTCAAGGCAAGTTTACTTCTTGTTTATTTAATAGCAAAAGTGATACTAACTTAAACTTAGATTTTAACAATGTCTGACTTCAAGACGAGAGGCATAAGCGTAAATTATTTTTATTAAGAGATATAAATAAAAAACATTAGGATAACTGACAATATTATAAAAACTATTTTTTTTTCAGGGAATAAAATTATCAAGATAATTATAAAAAAAAAATAGTTGAAAATTTAAGCCTAGTCTAGAAAAGCGTTTAGTTTTAAATAAATAGAGGCATGTCTTCACATCACGTTTTGAATGGCATAATTTAAATGTAGTATATTTACGTACCAACTGCATACGACCACGATCTCCCGACTGCCATTTTGCACTTTGATCTGGAAAAAAACAAAAAACTGTTAAACTTTTGGTTGATATGAATGAAATTGGTTCTGATATTAAACATTTTTTATAGTATACTCTGTCTGGTTCAAATTAAAAAAAAAAGTAAGAAGCACATGTGTTCTTCCAGACTTTTCTCTCCGTCTACCGAATTCATTGCAACCCGTTCAGCAGTTTAGGCTACAAATTCTAACAAACATCCACCTAAATTTTTACATTATAGTATACTAGCTGTTGCTCGCGACTTCGTCTCCGTAAAATTACCTTTCTAATGATGAAAAAATTTATGAAATCAGCCCATATATGTATATATATATAGATTGGCATTTATAATATAAGTAAGATTGAGAATTATCGAATCCATTCGCTTTCAATCCGTAAACGAGTAAAATAAATCTCAAATAACGTTCATTTTTCGTCGGAACTCTTTTTAACAACACAATGGGTCACAGTTTCAGTTCGAACGATGGGCATTAATCATTGAAGCCATTCACAAAAGACCTGTCAGGTGAACCTACGTTGAATTACGATTCTTGCAATACAAAAATCTTTTTTTTCTTTGTATAAAGAGATAACACATGACCGAGTTTATATTTTAAATTGGTTTATTAACAAGATAAAAGCATGAACAAATAAAAATACATATTATAAAGAGATATAAAGAGATACATATTATCTAATATTATAAAGAGGAATGATTTGTATTTTTGTATGTATTGAAATAACGCAAATATTAGTAGCCCGATTTCATATGTACAATATCAGTGAGAGGTTACTCACTGATACTGATATGCTATATTTTTTATTATTTTTAATTAGCTTTCGCCCACGACTCCGTTCGCGTGGAATTAAAAAAAAACAAAAGCAAGTAGCCTTTGTGTTCCTTCAGATTATCCGCTACGTCTATGATTCTACGTCAAAATTCATATAGATCCGTTCTGCCGTTTAAGCTAAAGACTAACAAACATCCATCACAACTAAACTAAACTTTCGCATTTATAATATTAGCAAGATTTCGCATGGACGAAGTCGCGAACGACATAGTCTGGCTAAACGTGAAGTTGTGGGACAATTGTACAGTGTGTACTCATTACACAAATGTCTTACGGAAGGAGGTAAGTAATTTACTAACGCTACATATTACTAGAATCGATTTTATATTAACGATGAAATAAAGAGGTCATTCATATCATATAAGTATTGATACTGGCGGAACATAAAAGGAAGCCGTAATGAAATACAAATAAGATTAGAGATATAATAATAAGTTTATCGACATTTAATTATTTTCACGCAATATATTGAGTCTTTGTTTTCCTTTTATCTTTATATTTAAGTATAAAAAAAAACTGTATAACATATGATTTTTAGTATTACACTTTATCTATACTTATTATAATAAAGCGTAAACACACATTTCTTTATTGCCTAAGATATCAGCAATTACATCATATTTTCGTATAACTCTTTTTTTAAATAAAAATCCCTACACTTACTCGTACGTCACGATTTAGGCTATATGTTTTCACGCCATTAAACTTAGGGGGTAAATATTTTGGATAGAAACCCTAATGTGGGAAAGAGACCATAAGTTGCTGCCAACATCAAGGAAGCAAGATTGCCAAGGTTAATCATATCATTTCATTTGGACAATTGCTATTAATAATTTGACAAATGTAAACAATATAGTAAAATTTTCATAATTTCATGCGGATGAAGCCGCACGGGAACAGCTAGTAAGATATAAAACGTTCGTTGATCTACTTAATATTGAAGCATGTCTAAACAAACACGTCAATAGTACGGATAGTCAAGTGAAATTGCTTTGAGTTATCCTTATTTATGCCACCATACCGGATATTAACTGGGTATGTGAACGTAATGTTTATGTCATTTTCAATGATGTAGCGAGATAATATTTGAAACTCAATAAAAATGTTTTTTAGATATGATTATTTTTGTATTAAGGTGGTTTTATAAATATAAATATAAATAATAAAATAAATGCGATGTATATTGGCGCAAGACAATGATATAAAAATATATTTTTTAATTTATTCTTGCAGTTTTTATATACTTGTATTAATAATTGTAATAAATAGTGATAAACAACAAAATTAGATATATTTTATTAGAATTAAACAAATGAATATTTATTTAATAAGCACTTTTAGACACTAGCTTTAGGTTTATACCTAGGTCGCAGAAAAGCGAAAAAGTCATAACCTTTTCCCAGGATTACAGCAAGTCGTACATTTTACGTCATTTGTCCCTAATGCATAAATTTCGTTCAATTATTCATTCATAGTGGGGTCATTGATTGCGCTTTACGCATCCCAAGTACAAGTTATGAAATGACTTCGCAACAGAACTATTACATGTTCCCACCTCTCGTTTTATTTATGACTATTGGCGATATTAGCTACGGCTTTCTAACGACCGTCGAATCTGTCTTGTAATAGCAGCAATACGGTAATAAATCACACGGAGATAAATGCGACCTGCATCTCACTTGTCATCGCTTTACATGTTTCTATTATGGCTCGATTTGTGCAGCGTTCGCACACCTTGGACTAAACAATCGCACAACTGTTTCTCGTTTTGTTTCGTATGTTGAATTGGCGGAACAATCGACAATCGCATAACAGTTGTACGATAGTTTAGTCAAAGGAGTGCGCCCGCTCTAAATAAAACTTGCGCGACGTTATGACGTCAGAGTTGTCAAATCGAAGATAATACTTCATAGTAATTAATTGGAAATGTTTTGATGGATGTTTGATGCTATTTATCTCCTTGTTTGAGGGAGTTCTATTTAATTTGTCACAGATATAAAACATATTGTGGATGTATACATGTATTTACTAGCTGTTGCTCTCGACTTCACCGACGTGGAATTAAAAAAATGTAAATGTAGCCTGTTACTCACTAATAACGTAGCTTTTTAATGGTGTAAGATTTTTTTGGAATCGGCCAAATAGTTTTTGAGTTATTCCAATACATACAAAAATACAAATCTCTCCTCTTTATAACATAAGTATAGATTAAGTTGTTTTTGACCGACTTCCCAAAAGAAGGAGGTACTCAATTCGTCTGTTTTATGTGTGTTATTTTTAGTTCCACGCATACAGAGTTACAAAAGCAAGTTTTAAAATAACGTTTATTCTAAATCAGAATATCGGAATATTAATAATCTAAAGGACATTTGCGAGACGAGATTAGTTAATTATTCTATAACAACGTATTCGGAACTGACAACAATTTATCAAATGCAAATTACATTAGTATTGGAATATGTTTAGTTTACGACATTCATCACGTAATCGAGTTGTTGGTTGATTTGACACGATTCTAGTAAAGCTATTGTTATTTGATATACAAAAGCAATGAAATTATCTTTAACCTGGGTGCACACTCGGTTCTATCAGTCCACGCTTTAACAAAACGAGCGCTCTGAGAACCACCGAAACACATACGCCATTGTATGCTCGTAGCTAAATTATATGCGATCCGATGCAAATCGTGTGTTCAAATGGAGTGTGTACCCAGCTTTATTCTTCTATATAACTTTAAAATGTTTTATCGTTAAGGGTAGATGTTGTCATAGGCCTGGTATCTGACAGCAAGTTGCCATTCGGAGGCAGACCGCATCGAGATGCGTTGCATCATACTCGCTAATTGCGAGGCGCTTTCACTGCGAATCCCGCCGCCCCTCGGCACACCGCTCTTGCGACAGACGATCATTTTTTCCGAGGACACTGAACATCTGAATTGACGCAATGCGTTCAAGCGTGGGAAACAAATAGAACTGCATAATTGTTTTAATTTACAATGCGATCTGATGGGACTTTTGCACCGGTTGTGCAACTTCCCTGTCTGAATATGCGTTTCTCACGCGACTAGTGAACTAAACAATTTTATATCTTCGAGAAAGCATCTGAAGTTCATATTAAATGCACTAAAAACTACAGTCTGCAAAGTTTAATGCCAACAAATATGTCAAAACCTACAAATAGCTATTACTCGTAGAGACAGGGAATACCATTTTTCTGTAGGTCTCCTTCTCCGTCTATTAGAGGTAGACAACGTATCTGCAATTGCGAATGTCTATGGGTAGTGGTTGCTTCGTTATTTCGACGAATCCAGTTGACCGTGTGCTTGTTTGGCATCTTATAATATAATATTAATATGAAAATCAGACAACCAGGGGCCGAGATATGCAGTAACAGAAATACATACAAAAAACATGTAGACGAGTTTAGAACCTCTTACTTTTAGAAGTCGGTTATAGATATATATATAATCACTAGCTTTCTCCCGCGACTCCGTCCGCGTGAAATTAAAAAAAAAACAAAAGTGAGTAAACTATGTGTTCTTACGGACTATCCTCCACATCTATACCAAATTTCATCAAAATCTATTCAGCCGTTTAGACTACAAACTCTAACAAACATCCATCCATCCATCCATCCATCCATCCATCCATCTATCCATAAATTCATCTAAACTTTCGTATTTATAATATTAGTAAGAAGTAAGATTATGAATTTATATTTAGATACTTTACAAGCTTTTGCCCGCGACTTCGTCCGCGTGGTATTAAATTAACTTAAAATTAAATTATATAAATGACTAAAGGCTACGTATCCCTCGGAAACCGCACTTTTTTCGGTGATGTAAGGTTCATCACCGAAAAAAGTGCGGTCATGTGTATTCCAGACTTTGTTTTATATCGGTGCCAAATTTCAATAAGATATGTTGAACCGTTGCAGAATGATTGGGTAAACATTAAAATAGCTAAATCAATGAGTCCCACGGGAACCGTAAGTATTCCCGGGATAAAAAGTAGCCTATGTGTTCTTCCAGACTATGCTCTAAACCTATGCCAAATGTCATGGAGATCCGTTCAGCCTTTTAGGCTACTAACGCTAACAAATATCCATCCATCCATTCTAACTTTCGCATTTATAATATTTATATGATTACAAGAGGGCTAGTT